AAAAATCCAGGTCTTCATTTTCATGAAGTCCAGTTTGTCAATTTATTCTCTGATGGGTCATACTTTTGGAGTAGGATCTAAGAAACCTCTACCTAACTTGATGTCACAAAATACTCTCCAAAATACACTTTAGGGCCCAGCACAGTGGGTCGATTGGCTAATCCTCTGCTTTGCGAGCGCTAGCATCCCACGTGGGTGCTGCTTCATGTCTTGGCTGCTCCACCGCCCAGCCAGTTCCCTGCTTGTGGCCTGGGAAGGCAGCAGAGGACAGCCCAGAGCCTTGGGATTTTGCTGCCAGGTGGAAGACCTGGAGGAGGTTCCTGGCTCCTGGCTTTGGGTCGGCTTAGCTCTGGTTGTTGTGGCCATTTGGGGAGCAGATGGAAGATCTGTCTCTCCTTCTTTCTATAAATCTGCCATTCCAATAAAAAAAAAATACACTTTAAATATGTGTAGATTATGTCAATAGTAGGCCAGTAAAGCTGCTTAAAAAAAAAAAAAAAACCTGCAGTGCTGAAATTTGGAAAAAGAATTGCCAAGTGATTTTAGTCTAGAATTTGATAGAATCCAGACAGTCTTCTTTCAACAAAATGCTTAGGATTGCAAAGATTTTTTTTAAAGTTATGTTTGAAGAGGATAAATACATAGGCTGCTGCTGGAGTTAACTCTGGGATCAAATCTTGGTTCTTCCACACTGCCTCCTGCATGTCTCTATGCCAATTTATCAGCTGTCATTCAGAAGCAGTATCTGCATCCCTTAGATCTGTATGGATGAACAAAGGGAAGCCACGCTGGAGGGCCTGGCTGAACCCAATTTAGACTCATTTCCTTTTTTGAAAACTTGAGAGAGAAGCAGAGGCAGGTCACCAAACACCTTCTCCTGCTGGGTTACTTCCTCAAATGCCTGCAGTAGCCAGAACTGGGCCAGGCCAAAGTCAGGAGCCGCAGACACAGTGTGGGTCTTTCACGCCAGAGGCAGGGACTTTTCTACTTGAGCCATCAGCTGCTGCCTCCCAGGGAGCACATGAGCAGGAAGCTTGAATTGGGAGTAGAGCTGGGATTTGAACCAGGCATTTTTGTTACAGATCGTGAGCAGCCCAAGCGAACCCCTGTCTTCACTTTCCTTTTTTTTCTTAATGCTTATTTATTTATGCATTTGAAAAGCAGAAAAATCTTCTTGTCACTGGCTCACTGAAATAGCCACTTGGGTTTGGACCACACATCCGGATTTCCCATATGGGTGTCAGGGACCCATGGGCCACTGCCTCCCCAGGCTCAAGAGCTGGGAGCTGGGTGAGAAGCATGGCTGAAATGTCAACCAATGCTCCATTATGAGATGCCCGTGATGCAAGTGGCTTAACTCACTGCTTCCTCCAGTTCCTTGTCTTATGAAAAGGATGTAGCCCCCATCCCCCCACAGGCTGTTCATTAGCACCCATGTCCCCTGCACCCTCAGCTGATCAGGACACCAGGCAGCTGCATGGAAGAGGTACTGTAGGAGACACATCAGGCACCCAACACAAGGATGCATCTGAGTTAGATTACAAAGCGGGCTATGGCCATTCGCTGTCCAGCGCAAGGTCTTTTTTTTATTGTTATGAAATTTTAAAAGGCAGTTACATTAGTTACACATATACACAACTGACTCAATAACTGTTAGTCTTAAGAACATTCAAGTAACACAACTGATGGTTTCTCCACAGCACAGTTCACATCCATGAGAAGAACAGTTAACACAGAAATGATTAAGTGCTTAACACATGGAAGCCTGCTTGTGAATCTTGTGTGTGTGCTAGAGGGGACTGAGATGGTTAGATGCAGCAAGCTGCCCAGCTCACACCTGCTCTGTACAATCTCCCTTTCACCACTTTCATGGCCAGGGCCCCTGAGCAGGTGCTTCACTCACATTAAATCAGCGATGGTTGCAAGCCCCAGGTACACTTGCTCGTGATGATGCCTTTGATTTGCCTCATTCTGCAGGCAGTCAAGGATACAATAGACCTTATTACACAGGATTGGGGGGTGGGGTGGGGAGAGAAGGGAGCCCAGGGAATTCAGGACACAGTGACTCGATGCTCAACACTTTTCTTTCCCCCTGGTAATACAAAGTGTTTTCTTCTTCTAACTTGCTCCTTGCTATAGCCAAGAACCTGCACAACTGTGAGACGTGACATGACCGTTTGGGGGCAGGTGCATCAGTTCACAGCAAGACAGCTCATCAAGGGACTAAAGCACTGCTGGGGAGGGAAGACTGCACCCCTCGCTTCCCTGGGCAGGAGGCTGCCTCAAGCTCAGGCTGAAGCTGGGAGGAGCAGAGAAGTGCACACACACACACACCCCTATGGAGGCTCTGGGGACAAGTCTCCACGCCCATGCAAGAGATTGAAGCTCCTCCGTGACCTATCAGGGCACCACCTCTCCCTGCTCGAAATAGTGGCTGTTGGCTTGATCACCAAGTCAAAGAGCAGGGGAGAGGGTGGTTGTCTCTAACAGCTTCACCACTCCCTGAAACCACAACTCCAAACAGAAAACGTCAGAGGGGGGAGGTATAGGCAGAGTGGCCACTGCCATAGTCACCAACCCAGTCTGTTGGTGGTGTGTGTGCTCCTGGCCAGTGGCTGTGGCAGCCACTGTTCTGGCCAGCCTTCTGCTTGCTCAGCCAGAGGAAAGCCTGGGTGTGCAACAGAGGTGGGAGAGGGGAGGTAACACTCAGGACCACACCCAGTCCTGAATGCCTCTGGCTTGGCTTTGGTCTCCACCAAGAGACACAGCTGGCAGGATGCACCAGCTAGACCTCACTGGGGTCCGAGGCAGAGGCTGCGAGGGAAGGAGTTGAGTCTGTGGCGGGGATGATGCTTCACCCTAAGTCTGGCTTCCTGTTACCCATGAGTCCTCCCCACTGGGGACCTAGAGTTAGCTGCACCCCCAAACCTCAATGAGAGCAGTGGACAATAGGTCAGTGGGAGCAGGAATCCTGTCCTCTCTCTGACAGCCCCTCAGTGCACAGCAGAGCCCAGCATGCAAGGCCAGGCTCCCTGATCCCTGCATTCACCTCTATGTGCACCTAAGGAGCACCTCCGAGGCCCCCTTTACTCCAAAACTACAAACTATGAGACCCCTGCCCCAATACCCCTGATCCCACCAATTCAAGTCTGCCTTCATTTCGCCAAGCAACGTTCCTGTGCTCCCAAAGCTATTTTTGTGCCTTTTTTGGGGGGAGGGATGAGGGTGGCATAAAACGGTTCCAAAGCTGCTGGCTGGAGACAGGGGTGGCCTTCGGCGGGGTGGGGGGCAGCAGACACAGAAGGAAGGAAACCTGTTCTAGAGGTGGCTGTGTGGGCACTGCCGTTTCCCCAGCAGTGTGAGAAGGCTGGTGTGCACAGGGGATGTGAACAATCACCAGCCCTGCACCGAGTGAAGTACTAATGGCTGCTCAGAGCTGCAAGCCAGGGGATCAGGTAGCATTGAGGCTGCTGACCACAGTCATTGCACCAAACCGGGCTGGACTTATACAGGGGCCATTCCAGTGACATGAGACACACGGGGGCACAACAGACAGAGTCCCTTGTCTCTTGTGTACACATGCTGGATTCCCCAGGCAGCATGTCCAGAACCAAGGCTGCTGTCTGTCTCTTGGCCCTCTACGAACCTCAAACAAGGTCTCTGCATGTGTCTGAAGGGCTGGCTGCCTAGGGAATACTGGGAGGGACTTGGCAGCTTTCAGGGAGAATGGGTTCCTCCACCTGCCTAAGGTACTGCATGTGACTTTGCTGAGACCTGGAAGATGGGGTGGGGGTGGCTGTGGATGGAGGATGGCACATCAGAGGGGGATGCTCCCAAACTAGAGATGCCAAGCCAAGCCAGCTCTGACTTATGTGAAGGGACATGGAGGAGGTGACAGCTCATTCCTTTAATTCCCAGTAAAGCACAGCAAGGGACCTTGGGTTCTTAAGTAATCCAGAGCCCTGCACTGGAACCCAAACCCAAACCTTCTGTCCTCCAGAGACGTGGACTGTGCTCTGCAGTGGGGCTGAGGTCAGAAGACTCACAGCATCCATCCCCTCCCAAACCCCATGCCCAGGGTGACTTCCCCCACTCCCTTCAGAGACGCTGGGTAGCATTCAGTCCAGGCTTTGAGCAGGCCGGGATGTCCTACCCTACCCCACTCCTGTCCAGATGGCTCAGCTCAGTTTTCCTATAGGTGCTGGGTGGGGACAAGCACCTGTGCTCCCCAATGGGGTAGTGCTAGAGATGGCAACATGGGATGAGCAACAGGAGCTGCTGGGGCCCAAGGCAGACGGGCTGAGGTGGGGAGTGGGTGCATGGACCACAGAACTGACGAATTCCAGGGACCAGGCCCCAGCCATGACTCCTGGCAGGACACTCAAGAAAGAGGCTTTTCTGGATGCTGGTCTGTACCTGCTGCCTTGAGGCAGCTTTGACACTCACTGGTTTCTACACACTTTGGCCACACACCACAGATACAAGCACAAGACATCTGTCAAACAGAAGGTTCGGACCACACTGCACTAAGGACCTGCAACCAATCACACATGGGACACACAGTGAGGTGAGCCGAGCCAAGGCGCTCCCCACTGTGTCCCCACACCCCAGATCCAGCAAGGCGAGTAAGACACCAGCTTTGTAGGCGGTCCTGCAATTGCTGCTAACTATTGTGTTAGCTGGGGTATAAGTCACCTGTTACAGGATTGTTCACAATCACATCAAGGATCCAACAGGTACTTCCCTGGAGCGCGCACACACACACACACACACACACACACACACACACACACACACAGGCACAACACGATAAATACACCTGATCCTATACATGGACCAGGGTCAGAGGCTGAGCAACCGGGGCTACAGGCCAGAACTGAGTGATGCCATGCCTGGGGGAAACATGGGGGACAAGGTGGCTCCTGGAGGGGGTCCTGTGGCAGGGTGAGATTGGCAAGAGAGAACCGGCATCACTGTATGGGTGGCACTGCCCACAACTGCTACTCGGAGAAGGGTGGGAACATTCCCAGGTCGGCAAAGTCTTCAATGTTGTAGTTGCCAGTGCCCTGGGTTGGGTCCCCTGGCATAGGGAGCATGTCCTGCAGAGAAGAAGAAAAGAAAAGCCAGAAGCGGAGTCAGCACCATTGCCTGTATGCCAGGCAGTCCCAGCAGCCCAGCCTGCCACTCACCCTTTTGTCATCTATCGGGGAGGAGACTGGCTGTAGGCCAGGGTGGGAACTCTGCTGGTGTCTGACATTCTAGCAACTGTCAGGCCACAGGCAAATGGCAGGACACCACTGTCTAACACAGAGCCAGAGTCACAGGCGACCAAGACCACCTGCTCCCACCACCTCCCCGATGAGGAGATTACAGCCAGGTACAACAAAGCAGCAGGTGATCCAGAGGCAGCAGACAGCAGGGCTAAGGAAAGAACCACGTGGGAGCGGGGCTGAGTCCCTGCACAGCAGAGGCCTTCCAGTCCTCTGGACCTCAGGCTACCCATCCAGCAAGCAGGAAGGCCAATAGTCCACTTGCTTATGGACACTTTCCCAGCCTGTGTCTGCTGAATCCTCCACCCACATGAAACTATGAGAAAACAGTTGAGCAAGCAACACAGCCTGGGAAACAAAGCCCCCATTGGCTACCTCCTAGAAACTTCCAGTCTACAACGGGCACAGTAGAAGTTCTGATTAAGTCCTGCCATGCAAACGTTGGATGGCTTTGCTTAGCCAGCATTTCCCAAGCTTATTTAAACCATAATTCTTTTTTGGCATTGTGACCATGAAGATCTGCTCTGGGGGAGGTGGGGACTACAGCGGTGTCCATTCTAGCTGCACTGCGCACGTGGGGGCTGCAGGATGAACCCTGCCTGGCTCCAAATTGAGAGCATTGCAAGGTGCCCAGGTAGCTTCAATCAGGGGGGCAACACCCTGTACCCACCCAGAGTGAGGTGCTGAGTTAGAGCCAGGCTAGCCCTGGAGCAAGGGTCTGATGGAGATGCCTGTTTACCCTGACCTGGGCACGACAGCGAGAGGAAGCTGTCAGGCAGGGACAGTCCACGGAGGCCCCAAGACACCTGTATTTCTCAGGTAGGCCCCTTGAGCTCTATGCTTTGCTCCAGTTTCCTGGGTAACCCCTGGCATCTAGGGCTGGGACAAGTCTCCTTTAGTGAGTTGCAGCTCAAAGGCAACAGACTCCCTTCCCCTTCTGGCATGCACCTGCACTTTCTGGCTGGTTAGGCGGGGGGGCCCCTTCTAGCCCCAGGCCAAGGCCAGAACTCACGATGGCTACTTGGGCAGGCGGCGGTGTGGCCAAGACAGAGGGGGAAAGGAAGCAGAGAGAAGGCGCCGGTACCTACGAGAAGGCGGTGCTTGCCCGATTTACCTGGAACACTTCAGTCTGACCGGGCTGCTGGTGCGAGTGCTGCTCACCGCTCTGCTGACCGTGGTGCTGGCTTTGCCACTGCGACCAGACCTCCGAGGGCCGCCCCTGGAACTGACCACTACTTTGTCCACTTTCAGCTGAAAGAGCCAAAGTATAAGACACAATCCCTTAAGCCCCCTGCAATTTGAGGGTCCCCCTTTCTGCTCTTGGGGGCTGGCTGTGTGCTTGCAGCCCTTGTCTGTCACTCTGATAAGCAGATATGAGATTTTTTTCTCCACTTAGGATGTAAGTGACACCCCAATAAACTCCCTGCTGGCTGACGGCATCCTAAGCCGAAAATGTGTTACATGCACCTACCAAATGGCCTAAACTTCGCTCTGAGGGTAGTAGCAAGCATTAAACACATTTGAATGCATGAACACCTAGCTTGTAGCAAGCCTTCAGCGAGGGTCAACCTGTGTCATCATCACCATCACCATCATCATCATAGTGGCCATCAGAGTGGTAGACAGGGCACCTGGCACAGTATTTGCAAGACCAAGGTCATGGCCATTAGAGTGAGCAGTGGTCTCCAGGGACTGTACCGTGAGAGAAAGACCATGAGCTTGGACTTCTAAAGGGAGACCATAGGGCCCTCACTATCCCCTTCTTAGATGAAAGGGACTCCAGCCCTGGGAGAAGTGCCAAGAGACCCTCAGGAGTGACCAAGAGTGAAGTTATGGCCAGGGCTCCTGGGCAATGTGCCTGGAGGGGCAGTCACTGAACCCTTTAGGGCCTGAGGTTGTGCTGTCCTCACATGAGGCAGGATCCCTTTGGGAGAGACAATTCCCCAGCCCTGTCCCAAGTCTCAAGGTTTTGAAAACAAGACGATACTCCCCAATTCAATAGTTAGAGATCCAAGAGTCTCTACCCAGGGTGACAAAGGGTTAACACAGCCTGGAAGGACAAGGCCATTTCACCAAACCAAGGCCTCAGCACCCAGCATCTCAGAGACCTCCCAGGACTCCTGGATGCCACATACAGGGACTTGTCCTGGGAGTCTGGGAAGCCCCAGGGCTCAGCAACCACCCCCACACCCCAATTCTGATGTCCAGAGCTGCTTTCACTCATGTTCTAGCACATACCAAAGCCTGCATTCCTGTTGGCCAGGCTGGAGTAGGCATTGCCACTGGGTGAGGAGGTAGCTGGGCTGGACAGAGGACTGTAGGAGGAGGGGTCTGCCGGGTAGGTATGACTCGTTCCGATCCCAAAGGGTGATGACTGAGTCTTGCTGGACTGGGATGGGATTTGCTACCATGAGGACAAAGCACACAGAGAGAGGAGAGGTCACCAGCAACACACCCAACCCCCCAGCCACGATGCCCACCACATCCCTGGCAGGTGCACTGGTAGCAACAGGATCTGCTCTACATGATTGAGATGCTCTATGACTGCACAGAAGCCTAGCATCAGTGCAGCATGCAGGGAGAGTCCTTGGAGGCCTTGACTTTGACACCCAGGGGTGCCCCAAGCTCTGTCAAAACCCACCCCAAGGCAATGGGTGCCCCACACAGCTCACAGCTGAGGATCCCTATGCTCTTCCAGGGTGCCAGAGCAGGGCTTAGGGGATATCTGCACCTGCCCCACTCACTCCTGCTTGCTTCCCCAGGGCGAGGCTGCCCAAATCAGGGGCAGTGCAACTGCCATGGATGCAGCCATCAAGGTGGCCTTAGTGTGGTCAGCCCGACCAGGGTGGTCAGTTCTGCCATGCCATGGACTGGCACCCCTACAAAGCATATCCCCAGACACTGTCCCTCCCTGGACACAAAGGCAGCCAGGTTCTCCCAGACACCCCTGTACCTGTCCGGGAAAGGGTGGACGACTCCCTGTCCACGCCACTTGACTCTGGTTGAGCTGCCGGGAGATCTGGGACATGTTCTGGCCCGTAGAAGATGAGGACTGAATATCATTCACCCCAGGCACATGGACCACCGACGAGCTGCAGGGAGAAAGAGGCATGGATGCTGAGTTGCCCCCGAACCTGGCAGGGCCCTCCCCTCCCAGCTTCCTCACCATGACAGGCCACATCTCCACCCTGAATCCTGACTCAGCCTGCATCTCCCCAGGCCCCCATGACACCCAGTAATGACTTCTGTGCAGCTCTCGGACCATCCTGAGCATCCTTGGCTGTCAGGAGATGGCTTGATTCCTGCAAAGAGCGAAGCTTCTCGGAATAAAAGAAACCATGTCTATATGACTCTCAGCATCCACCTGCTCCTCTGGTTAATTAATTCCTTTGGGGGCCTCCTTTAAGACCTCAGGATGTGGGAGATACAGTGTGGGTTGTCATTTAAAGCTTAACCAAAAGTGAAGCTGGTCCTCCTGCTAACCTCCTCCTGTTTCCCAGGCAGCATGCACAGCTGTTTATTTACATCCTCTGCCGTCAGTTTAATTTAACTGCAGGAGTTAACAGGTGCCTGCTGTGTGCAGGCCCTGAGCCGTCTGCGTGCCCAGTGGCAGGCTGCGTCTCTGCTGCTGTCTTTGGTGCCTGGCCTGCCCCTTGGGTCACAGACACTTCTTAGAGGATGGCTTCTGGTGTCTGCTTGATGAGCGTCTGGATAGGTGGAGATGCGGGAGGGGCAGAGGCAGAGCCCTTTTTCCTCCTGTCTCCCTGGGATTAGCTCAGGGCATGGGGCAGTGTGCCCACTGTCTAAGAACAAAAGAGTAGGGAATGCTGATGGGGGCCAGCCTGGAGGACTTTGGGTAGTGGTGGTGTTTTGCCACATACTGGCAGGAAGGCAGCTGAAGGCAGTAGAAAGAGTGCTAATTGTACCTCAAAGCATCTGAGCCTCCTTGGGAACAGAGAGAAGCCTAGGGTGCCGCAGGGTCTCCTGTACTGGCCACTGCGGTCACTCGCTTTTACGAGAGGTCACATCCTTCCCTCTCCTCTCCTCAATGCACAGATGATGTCAGCGGGCCTTTTGCCATCACTGTGCCCCTGCAGGCTGGGCCTGCTACTGCTACCCAGGGCTGATTTGGCTGGCAACCACGTATACTGCTGGCTCCACCAAAGGAGCTCTGGTGCAAAGGGGGCAGCTTTCCAGAGCAAAAGTGCCTCCTTCTGACCACACACCACCACCCTATGCCCAACCCTTCCTGGGAAGCTTCTGTCTTGGTACAGATAGGAGAGGCCAAGGCTGGCGGGACCACAGTGGAACAAGGCTAGGCGAGGGCACATTTCAGGATACCAGAAATTCTATTTTCCAGGGGTTCGAGCTCCATGGGCCAGGCCTGGAAGCCTTTGCCCCATACCCTCCTCACCCTGAAGCAGCCCCAGCCCTTCAGAGTTGTGGGAAATTCTGTTCACTTCCTAGGCTGAAGCCCTCAGGGTATCCATTCACTCTCACTCACTTGTAGAGCAGGCTCCTTCCCTAGCTGGGGCCCTTCCCTAAGGAGCTGAAGCCCCCAGGCCTGCCTCACCTTTCCCTTCACTACTCCCAACACACCCTCTTCCCACTCATGTTTCTAAGACAAAAGCCTGGCTCAGGCTTAACCCCTCAAATGAGGACCTGGGGAATCCTCTGTCCTGGCACCTCCATGTAAGCTTCCTCTTCCACTGCACTCTGACTTTCCCATAGCCTGTTCCTGGGCTATTTCCAAACCCCACATCCAGGCACCTGAGGTCCCAGCTCTGCCCCTAGATTCCTCGTTCCCATGCCATGTGTTGGGCAATGTGTTGCTCATGGTGTCTAGATGTTTGTCTTCCCCATGCACCCTCCTTGAGGGCTGTAGGTCTCCGTCCCGGCCACCCGCTTCCCTGGCTCCCACACTCCCAGCCTTGGCTGCAGGATGCAGTCAGGGCCTCATTCGAAGTCCTGTAGGATGCTCTTACACCAAGAACTCGGACTTGGGCTGCTGGATGTTCTGCTTGGGTCCCTGAGCCTGAGATGCTGCGTGGTATCTGGGAACCAGGGAACAAGCAGGCTTCCTGCTACCCCACCAGCTTGTTCCCAAATACAGGCTGAGTCACTTCCTTCCCAGCAGGGCATGGCTGTAGAACTCATGGGCTGCTACCATTCTCACCCAAGAAAGAATAACTGAAATCTAGCACCTATGACAACTCAGGGGCACAACCAGACGTGGGCACAAGGCCTGTGCGAGCCTTCTCACCAATGGCTCCCCCTATTCCCCATGTGTACCTGAAGGCCTTCCCCGAGTGGCCTGGAGGGAATGGGCTGCCCTGTGAGTAGATCTGCTGGGTTCCCGCTGCCGAAGCTGAGCTCATCATCTTCTTCTCCGCTAGGAAAACCAGAGCGGGAGTCACACATGAGGGCCTTCGGCCTGGCGGATTACCCCATAACAGGTGCAAAGCTGCACCTGGGACAGGAAGAGGCACATGCCCCCCCCCCCCGGGGCAGGATTGGGGGCAGCTTCTGTGCTGCGTGTTTCTCCCAGGACATCTCAGACTAGGAGAGTGAAGGCTGTTGCTCCTGACTACAGGTAAGGCCCGCTTCTGCAAGCTGGCAGAATAGAGATGAAACAAAGTTCTTGCCAAATGTCATTTGTGCAATGCTTCAGACTCCTGGGGTAGGCTGCACAGGCCCTGGTCTTCTGGCTGAGGGCACTAGAAAGGAGGACCCACAAACCCCAGTTCTGCCCTACATGCAAAGATGCAAACTTGAACATGCTGCTGAGCCATCCCCTGCCTCAATGTCCCCTACTGCAAGACGGTTCCTCTTTGTCCAATGAGCTGATCTGCTGAAAATGCTGGGTACAGGGCCTGGGTACATAGCCAACAGCACCTCTGCTTGCCATCTCCATTGTCCAAGGCTAACAGCCCCCTAGGGAGACTGAGGGCACCCTTCCCACAGCCAACACTCTATCCAGATCCCTCTGCCTGCATCCACCCTCAGAACAGCCACCAGGGCCAGCTTTGGGTTGTCTGGTCTCCCAGGGTTGGAGACCCTCATGAAACTGAAAACACCTAAGCCTAGGTTGGGCCATGTCATCATCATCACTTCCCTGCACTGCGCAGTAGCCTGTGGCAGGCCCAGCCCAGCATCCCACCTACCAAAGAAAACAGAGCCCAAAAGCCACAGGATAAGTCTTGGCTGGCCAGCTGCCTGTGGAGATGTTGCATAGAAAGCGAGGGGTCTCTGTGGCAGGCTGGGGACAGGAGCAGGGGTGTGAGTGGGTACAGATCCATGAACTCAACAGGACTGTTCCTGTCTGGTCACTGGGTGCCCAGGACTTTCTACGGTGACCTTCCAAGGTCTCAAAACCTCTGAGGGATCTTCAGAGAATCCATGGAGGGGTGGACATTGCAGCATGCTCCATATCCAAGCACTCATTCAAGTCCCAGCTATTCCACCTCTGATCTAACTCTCTGCTACTGTGTTTGGGAAGATTACAGAGGATGGGTTAAGTGCTTGGGTTCCTATACTCACACGGGAGACCCAGATGGAGTTTCATGCTCCTGGCTTCAGCCTGAACCAGCTCTGGCCATTGAGGCCATTTGGGGAGTGAGTCTGTGGAAGGAAGATCTCTCTTCCTCTCTCACTAAAAAATGGAACTAAAAGGTAAGTTACTTTCACTGTTCTCAAATTTTGAAATGCATGCATAGTTTACACACAGTACACGTATTCCATGAACTTTTTGATGAGCCCCTAGTTTATCTAAAGACCCTTGGTTCTACCACTCAGTCTTCATCTTGATTGTTTTGATCGACTTGATCTGGTAGCGATGAAGAAAGATATACCGAGACCTTCTCGCACCACATGGCTTTGTCAGCAGCTTCAGGCGCTCCCGATTGTTTCTGCTTTCATGTGCCATGAAGTTGGTGATGTTTGTTTCATGCTGCATCTGTAGCATGTATTCAGGGAGTCCACTGGACACCTGACCTTGCTCTTCCCCTGGAGACGATGATGATCAATTTGTGTGCTCATGGGCTTGGCGGAACTTGTCCACCTCTCACCTCTCCCACTCTTCAAAGATCAGCTTCTGTGTACCTGGTTGCATTGTATGCTGACAGCAAATTATCAACCAAGGGGCCTTGAACTCTTTTAATATTTATTTTTATTGGAAAGTCAGAATTTATATAGAAAGAAGGAGAGACAAAGATCTTCCACCTGCTGGTTCACTTCCCCCAAATTGCCGCAATGGCCAGAGCTGAGCTGATACAATGCCAGGAACCAGAAGTTTCTTCCTGGTCTCTGGGTGTGCAGGGACCCAGGGACTTGGACCATCCTCTGCTACTTTCCCAGGCCATAAGTAAGGAGATGACTTGAAAAGTGGAGCAGCCAGGACACAAACTGGGGCCCATATGAGCTGTTGGCCCTGCAGCAGAGGAGTAGCCTGTAAGCCACTATACTGTTTCTCCTCCTATGACACACTTGGATTGTTTTGATAGTGAAATTTGCTTGCCATTCGCTTTGCTTTTCTTTTGAGAATTTCGTGGTTTGCTAAACATTTTCTTCTATAAGCCAGCTTGCCTGCCTCCTTCTTCCTTTCTTCTTTCCTTCTCTCCTTTCCCTCCCTTTTTTCTTTTTCTCCTCCTCTGCTGGGGTTGCACATACATGAAGCTGCATTTCTCTATCTGTGTTAGAGACAAAAAGTTCATACTGATGGGAAGTTTTTCTCCTCTTATTGCCTCCCATGCAACATCCCTTTGGATCTTGGCTGAGCTGATTCAAAATCTGGGATTCTGATTGTTCTTTGTTCATCTTTTGTATCTTCTGACAAGGCATGTGTTCCTTCTGGTGGTGGCAGTAATTTCACTTTGTATCGCCACTGCTTTTCCAACCCACTGCTCCCACTCTTATGTCCTATATTTTGAGTCATTACACAAACAGGTGCAATCTTCGGTAAGTGAACATAAGTAGATAGCATGTACGTGGTAATGCCTTCCTGTATATGAAAGCAGCATGGTAGTGGAAAAACAGGTTATATACTTTCCTGTTCTCAAGTTGCCCTTCACCCCTGGGCCTAGAGCATTTGGCATCACAGAAGTCAAACGAAACATTTGCCTTGGTAGCTATGATGAGCTTTTTCCCCTCCAGAGCTTTGCAGGATATTTCCTTTATTCTTCAAGTTAAAAAAAGGGGGGGGGGGAGCGGGGAGAGGTGTAGCACAATAGACCATATTCAGCTGTGAGTGTCTTTAGAATGTTCTAATTGAGTGCTTGTTGAGCTCTGTCTTAGCCAGAAGACTGTAGTTTTGCATGGGCAGAACCCTCCTTTTTCTGCTTTTTGACTTGCATTTCTGCACTACCAGCCTGTTCTGTACCCATTCCTCTTCGTTAAATGCTCAGTTTCTCCGTCTCCAAGGGTTCTCTCCCAGGAACACAGCCATGGCCACTGGGGTCTCTTGAGGAAGACTTTGATGGGTTTTCACTGCATGCTCTTGTGCAAAGAAACCAACTTTCCAAAGAGGAGACTTGTTCTGAGGCCTCCATTCAACCCTACTCCTTCTTCCTCTTTTCTTTTAAAAAATATTTGCTAATTTTTATTTGAGACGCAGATTTATGGAGAAAGCAGGATAGAGAGAGAGAGGGAGGAAGAGAAGAGGAGAGGGAGGGAGGGAGGGAGAAAGAACCTTCCATGCACTGGCTCACTCTCCAAATGGTTGCAATGGCCAGGGATGAGCTTCTTCTGAGTCTCCCACATGGGAGGGAGGAGCTTCCTTTAGGTCTCCCACATGGGTGTAGGGGCCCAAGTGCTTGGGCCATCCTCTGCTGTTTTCCCAGGCTGAAAGCAGAGAGCTGGATTGGAAGTGGAGCAGCTGGGACTTGATTTAGTGACCATATGTGATAGTGGTGTTACAGGCAGATGATGAGTTTCCTAAGTCATGATGCTGGCCCCATCCCTTTTCCTCATCCATTGATTTTGGTTTATCATCTTCATGGAAAGCTCTCTCTCTCTCTCTCTCCATAATATTCAAAGTGTGACTATGGGTGTCTGGCCAAATATGAGGGGACTTCAGGAAGTTCATAGAAAAATAAGTATTTCAGTGGGTTTCCATTTTTTTCCTGCACCCAGGGAAATGTATCTATCTGCCAGGAACTTTTCAAAGTCCCCTTCCTTCATATTCCAGGCTAGTCTGGGGGAAGGAAAGGCCATGAAGTGTGTTCTGGCCTCTTTTGGCTGGAAGGAACAACATTTCTTTGTTAAGGTCATGGGCATATTGATGCAGGTGGATGGTCTGTGTGGTTGGCCATGGAAACTGGCAGTAAGCAGCTGTCAGAGTGCCATGGTATCTGTTTTATCAGGTGTTGGGAACCAGACATAGTGCTCTATGGGCATCTATGCCACTCCAGCACCATCCCTGCTGTCTGGGCATTTGATCCACAGCTGAGCAGGAAGAAAGCAGTAGCCTGGCATCCCTTCTACCTGTTCAGGGCACACAGTCCCAGCGGGATACTACTGAGGTCCCTCCAACTGTCTTCTCCAGTTGATCCTGGCTACTTTGTCCATTGAAGTAATTCCCTTGGCCCCGTGAAAGTGGGATCTCTTTTTTCTTTTAATTTTTAGAACTGATAGACCATTTCCACTTATCCATTTTTTCTCATCTTGATGGTATTTGGAGTTGGAGACAAGGCTGTTGAACATGCATGCTCTGTTTACCACCTTCAATACGAACTGCACTTTTGTCAGACAACAGACTCTGTGCTCACTGCAGCACCAGCCACGGTAGCTAAAACACAGATTCAGCCTAGGTGCCCATCGAGGGATGAATGGATAAAGACAATGTGACATAAGTGCACAGTGGAATATTAGTCAGAAAGAAGAATGGAAATTGCACCACTGACTACAAAATGGACGGAACTGGAGGATGTTGTTTGAGAAAATGATAATGATAATTATTCCCTGTCCTGGCTCCTGTGTGGAGGCTAAAACAAAAGAAACTGATCTGAATCATAGAGCAGCGATTTCTCTGGGAAAGACACCCAAACACAGCCAGGCAGAAGAAGCAGGGTGATCTAAGGTTCCACAGCATGGCGGGGCAAGCAAACCTACAAAGCTGCAATGAATTAGAAGACAGGAGCCTGAAGAACCGACAGGCATGGAAATGCTGGTTACCACAATTTGACCAGTAGTTACTGCACACACGCTCACAATCACAACCCCTATATGTCAGTTAAACACTCACCAATCCCTTGTGGCAAAGTCAAGTGATTTTAAAAAGACCAACAGAAACCAGTGCCTCATTTTCTCTCACCAGCATGCTGGCCTAGGTGGGTGAGCCTCGGGTACTGTCATTAGTCATGAAGGAGAACTCCATGCCAGCCTTCAAAGTGACTTAAAATGTTTTTTTTTTAGAGATTAAAAAAAAAAAACCCAATTGGAACCATTTAATGATCTGGAAACAGGCTCACGCATGAAATATTGTCGCACTACGAGAGTACCAGTGTGAGTGCGACTGACTCTGCGAACGAAGAGAACGCAAATGTGTGAAAAAGCAGAGCGCATTCAAAGTGGCAAAGATGAATTCCAGGTGGTAGAACAGTGGATCGTTTCAGTTGCTACTGTTCACTGCCTGGTTTTATTTTCAAGGGTGGTCCTTTGTACACACCCAAAGGTGCTTTCTCTACAGCAACGCGTCTTTAAAGGGCTTAATAAGACTCAGTCATACGGTGGATTAACTGAGCCCCACAATTCAACCCCCTTACTTTCTAAAGAGGAGATGCCGCAGTCCCAGGTGATGGAGAGGGGACAAGGACATGCGTAAAAAGGACACATCCTTTCTGGTTTATGTCCCGTTGCCAAGGGCAACCGTGTCTTCCTGCCCACAGCGACACTCGAGACTTACATGCACTGATTCCTGCGAACATCTCAGCAAAACGGGGATCTCGCTCCTGGGAGAAGATGGCGTCTCCCTTGTCCACAGACTTGCCCGCCTCGTGAACTCCGGCTGGGAGGTTGGGGACGGGGACCTGTTGGCATGTAAAAGCAATCAGGGCCTTCTCCCGTTTGGGAAATCCCAGAGCTGCCAGGCCCAGGACTGTGAACTACGGGGGTAACAGGTGTGACCCTGGTGTCACACCTTGGAGGGAGACCAGTGGCAACCATATTCACTGCAAATCTGTGGACGTGAAGTTTGAGAAGAGGCCAAACCCCAACCCAAGCAATGAGCAGGGGTGAAGACAGAAAAGGGAGGAGGGAAGGAAGAAGCGAAAGGGGTAAAAGGAGATGGGAGAAGGAGGGGAGGTGGAACATGGGGGGTTCAGCTATACAAAGGGGCGCATGGGATATGTGCTCTGTGCGTGTTTGTGGTTGGGCTTTACTCTCTGGGCTGCCAGGCTCAAGCTGGGGAGCCAGATGGAGCACCAGTCCCCTGTGTTGAAGGCAGTTCCAGCTCAGGAAAGAATTTTCTAGAAATTCACCTGTGACAAGTCATAGGATGACAGCCCGTCTCTCTGGTGTACTTCCAGCTCTGCCTGCTGCTGCTGGAGCTGCCTGTGGAATAGGAAGTACAGGAAGTCAACAAAGAGGCATGAGGCCCAGAAGAGGTAGTGGAGGCAGAACTGAGTCCAGAAGCTTCCAGTTCTCCCAAGGTGCAAATGTGATGCCCAGAGGGCATCTTGGGATTGTCGTCCATTTAATTTTCAGCTGCTTCATTTCATCATTAATGCCCCACATGCAGCCTGCAAGTTCTGTGTTTCAAATTTAGCTGCCACACTGAGCTGTGTAAGAAATAAACCGTGTTGGGCCCCGTGCGACAGCCTAGTGGTTAAAGTCCTCGCCTTGAACGCACCGGGATCCCATATGGGCACCAGTTCTAATCCCAGCAGCCCCATTTCCCATCCAGCTCTCTGCTTGTGGTTTGAAAAAGCAGTCGAGGACAGCCCAAAGCCTTGGGACCCTGCACCCACGTGGGAGACCTGGAAGAGCTCCTGGCTTCGGATTGGCTTCAGATCGGCTCAACTCCAGCCATTGCAGCCGTTTGGGGAGTGAATCATCGGACGGAAGATCTTCCTCTCTGTCTCTCCTCCTCTCTGTATATCCGCCTTTCCAACAAAAATAAAATACATCTTTTAAAAAAATAAACTGTGCTGTGTGACTCTATTTCATGCAGGCAAAAAGAGATTACACTAAAACAAAAGTGTCAGGCAAAATTCAGAAACACAGTTGGACTTCCTGCCAAACTAGTAACTGGCCTTGGCTCCTGCTTACCTGTCCACCAGCAGGTGTCTGCATCATCTCATTCTGGCACAATAGCCCATTTACCCGCCTATCGAAATGAAGAAACTAAAGGCCAAGGAGAATGGGAGATTGTGGCAATGACCAAGTAGACCCAGGGACTGACATAAGATTGTGTCCCCTTCACCAGCCTGCTGCTCCTTTTGGGGGAGAAAATGGCTCATTAGGGGTCACGTTTGAAGTGCAGCCAGTCAAGCCACCAGTTACAGCCCTAACACCCCATATGGGAATCGGTTTTAGTCTATTTGCTCCTCGTCCTAGCTAGAGCCCTGTTGGTGTGCAAGAAAGCAACAGAAGATGGTTCAAATACTTGGGTTCCTGTCACCCATGTGGGAGTCACAGTAGAAGTTCCAGCCTTCTGGCTTAGGCCCAGCCCTGGCTGTTGCAATCACTTGAGGAGTGAACCGGATTTTTCTCTCTCCAAGTAAACCTAAACCAGCTTATTAAAGGGAATATCTGTTTTGCATTTTTTAAAAAAAGGAGGCAAAACTAATTGAAAAAATTTATTGGAAAGGCATATATACAGAGGAGAAGGAGAGACAGAGAGAAAGATCTTCTATCCACTGGTTCACTCCACAAGTGGCCACACATCTGAAGATGAACTGATCTGAATCCAGGAGCCAGGAGCTTCTTTTGGGTCTCCCATGTGGGTGCAGGGTCCCAAGGCTTTGGGCCATCCTCTGTTGCTTTTCTAGATCACAATCAGGGAGTTGAATGTGAATTGGAACATCTGGGACATGAACTGGTGCCCATTTGGGATCCTGGAAGATGCAAGGTGAGGATGTAGCTATTAGCCCATTGTGTCATGCCCTCTGCTTTGAGTCTTATGCTGTGCACACTGGATGAGCTTCAATGGATGGCGAACCCAGCAGCTCAGAGCTCACAAATGGACAGAATGGGGGCTGGCACAGTGGCACAGCATGCAAATCCTCCACCCTGTAGCACCAACATCTCATATGGGCCCTGGTTCATGCCCTGCATGCTCCACTTCCCATCCAGCTCCCTGCTTATGGCCTGGGAAAGCAGCAGAAGATGGCCCAAGGCCTGGGGACTCTGCATCCACATTGGAGACCTGGAGGAAGCTCCTGTTCAGGTTACCTGAGATCTAGTCATTGTGAACATTTGGGGGATTGAACCAGTGCATGGAACACCTTCTCTCTGTAAATCTGCATTTCTAATAAAAATAAATAAATCTGGTAAAAAAAAAAACACCAAATGGACAGAATTGCAGGTGTACTTCAATCCTAAATGCCAATAGCAGCAGGCATAAAAATTACCAGCTTAGTGCACACTCCAATTCCTAACAATTCTACCTGTGAAGGCATGCAGCAACAATTCTGGCAAGAATAAATCCGTACATGATAAATATATACTAGTATGCTTATAATGTGATATTGTATATACCTATGTAATAAAGAAATGCATGTATATAAAGTAAAATGGATTGATGTGTAATAAGCCAATGAGGGAGAGACCTCCACCATTTTCTTCTTAATGTTGCCAGATCAAGGCTCTGATCCCATCAGGGCATGACCCTAGTGGTGGCCAGCGAAAGCCTTGAGTATGACTGCACAGAGGACCAACCTTCCCTTAGAGCCCATGGGGAGATGCACTTGAGGACACCTGGACACCCGCACCTGCTCCGAGGTGCTCCTCTTGGGGCTGACAGACAGACTAAGGGATGACTCCCTGGCAGGGAACGGAACCATCTGGGCAAAGCTGACCATCATGGTGGGCAGGGTGGGGAAACTTTGTGAATGACGCATATGATAGTGCTTCAAAATGTCTGTGGAGCAATGGCATCTGGCCTGACGGTTAAAACACCTACATCCCCTCTCAGGTGGGTTTGGCACACAGATCCAGTTCCTGACTCCAGCTTCCAGGTAATGCAGATAATGGGTGGCAGGGGTGATGGCTCATGTAGCTGGGTTCCTGTCACCCACCTTTGAGACCTGGATTGAGTTCCCCACCCTGGCCAAACCCCAACAGTTTCAAGTATTTGGGGGGACAGAATGGGCAGATAAGGAGTACTTCATCCTCTTTCTGTTTATCTTGCAGTCTCTCCACCTCTCAAATAACAAAGAAAAGTTTTAGAGCATTTTTAGGAAGGGAAATTGTTTATCTTGGTGTTCTTTACCCCCCAAAAGAACTCCCTGGAATCCATGCAGCTTTTCCATAATATGCATTTTTTTTTCATGAAATAAAAAAAACCTTTTTATATACATGCATTTCAATAATTTTTGGCATCAAAGATAAATTTATCTTCGAATTCCATTTCCATGAGTAATCTGAAGTCATCCGGTGCTAACTTCCTGATTCTCCAGGCACATGGAGAAGTTCAGGGTCATCACCGAATAGTGTACACCCATGACTGTCGTCACCAGCCCTGAATCCATGGGAAGGGATAAACCAAGCTTGAAATACAGAAAACAAAGCAAAACAAAGCAATCTCTCTAGCATTGGCATTAATGAACAGAGTGTGGGTTTTCCTGGCAGTTTCCATGCCTACGGATCCCTTTGAACAGGTTCATGGCTTTACCCCTGACTGTGGGATAGGCTAGAAGCAAGGCTGCCTGGATGAGGCCACCTGACCTGCCTTATCTCCATCTCTGGGGGCGGGGGGCGGGGGGGGTTAAGGAATGCTCAGGCCTTAACCACCCAAGACTCCCTGCTGCCCTGTGAGGGTGGCATCCCCAGCATGCCAATGGCTCAAGTTACTTGGCTTCCTGCCACCCACATGGGAGTCTCAGATCGAGTTCTTGGCCTGATCCCAGTTGTTGTGGACATCTGGGAGAGTGAACCAGCAGATGAGAGCTCTCTCTATCACTGTCTATCTCTTCCTCTCTCACTCGCTGTCTCTCTGCCTGTCAAATAACAACTAAACAAAGTTAAAAATAAGTTTAAAAAAGTTTAAGATAGCTTTTATTTATTTGAAAGGTGGTGTGACAGAGAGAAGGAGGGGGACAGAGAGAAAGAGACAGACAGACAGACAGAGAGGTCTTCTATCTGCTGGCTCACTCCCCAAATGGCTGAGACAATCTGGGCTGGGTCAGGTCAAAACTAAAACTAGGAGCAAGGAGTTCCACCCAAGTCTCACATGCTGGTGGCCAAGGGATTGGACCATCTTCTGCTGCTTCCCAGGCTCATTAGCAGGGAACTGGATCAAATATTAAGCAACTGGAACTCAAACCACTGCTCTGGTATGTGATTTCAGCATTGTACATGGTGGCACAGCTCAATGTGCCAGAAAACTGCCCCACCCCCAAAAAAACAAATTTCAAAAGAAATAGATTTTCCAAATATTTCCCAAAACCCCAGGATAGTCACCCAAAGTATAATGACGACTGTGTATTTTCCTGTTCCCGCCTTACAATGTGGCTTTGCTATACTTTCATTGCCATCTGGGGACACCATTCTTTGTGTTTATTGGGCCTCCAAACTCCCAGTGTAGGCCCTGACAGTGGTCCAGTGCCAGCATTCTCACATGACTGCAGTATTCACTCATTACATAGACACAGACTGTGTCTCAGAACTCGACTCGGCAGTAGCACACACAGAATTCACACGCGCAGCTGTCCGGCTGTCAACATCACATCTTTCTTTTGTCCTGGTCTGCCATGGTGGCAGCAAAAACTGCTCTCCTATTACATCTCCCACTCAACAGCCCTGGGCCTAGCAACACAGCACCTTGAGACACTAGGTTTTGCGTTCCCAGGTGGTCCTGCCCCGAAGAAGGAATTTCCTTTTACAAGAAGGGATGACCAGGGCCATGGCACCAGGCTGGACTTGCTCCATGCTCCTTTGGCCCACAGAAGGCTCCTTATACTCTGGAGTGGACAGATGGAAGATCTTAGGCACATCTCTTGGATCCTCAGGGTGCTGGCTTCACTGGCTCCACGGTCCAGATGCCAGCACTCCCCATCTGGCAGCCAGGAGGGTTTCTACTCTGCAGCTGAAGCCTTACGGAAGGAGCAGTGCTGACCTGCAGGCCACCCTATCCAGAGAAGGGGCCTCAGGGAGCTCCCCAGACATTATGCGGCAACCAAGTAAAAATAAACCTGGGAGTGTTCACACATTCCAGACAGGCAGCAGGCACGGTGCTCAGGAGCCCTCCGAGGCAGGCTGGCTCCCAACGCAGCCCTCTGCTGAACTCCATCAGCCAGGAGGGACGGCTGTTGACCGGAACCCAGCGCAGTAAGGTGGTGTAGGGCACTGGGCATGTGTAGTCCAAGAGCCTGGACACTCAAAGATCCTCACTCGGCCCAAGAAAACAAGCAAGACTCCATCAGGGAGGTGGCGACTGAGACGCACCCATGAGTTACCAAGGATCTAGTTACCAGGGCAAAGGCGGGTTTGGGGCTTGGTGATGGGCACTTTCAGGAGCTCCATGAGCTCCTCTGGGCACCATGAGCTCTGGTACCCAGAGGAAGCTCTTAGCTCCCACCATGCCACCTGTGTGCCTATTACCAAGGGCTCCCAATGCCCAGTAAGGAGCTTGAGATTGACATGGTTGGGGTCCGGGGGGGTAATATGTTCCAGAAGGTCTCTGCTTGACCCAGCAGAAGGCAGGCAAGCTGACTAGGCATGGCAGAAGATAGAGGAGGAGCCTGGTTGGCTCTGGCTGTCCATTGCAGATAAATGTCAGACAGAACACCAGGTGACAGGTGTCCCAGCCCCTCCTGACTCCAGGAATACACACTCCCAGTTTCTTCTGTACTCACCCCTCCTCCCCTGCCTCTCTGCCTCCTTAAACCAGCTCAGTCACCACTGTCAACCAGCATTCAAACATTACCTACAGGGAACCTTGATGTGACTGTGGGCAGGGCAGGGTTTAAGAACACGAATGCGCGCGCGGGCGCGCACACACACATACACACACTGGCACCTCAAGCCGAGAAAGGGCTCAGCCCCAGCATGTGCAAACTGGCAACCTGGGCTTCCTCCTTGGAAGAGATGTCAAAAATGAAGAAGCACAGTAGCGAGGCAGAGCATATATGAAAGCCTGGGACAGACTCAAGCACAACTTTGTCTTGGACGGAGGAGCTGCCCACCCAAATATAGAGACCCTGGCTGGCCATCTCGGCCTGGTTAAGATGCCTGTGGCCCACCCTGGAGTGGCTTGGTACCCGGCTCCATTCCTGGCTTTGGCTTCCTGTTAATCCTGACCCCCGGGAGGCAGCCGTGATGGCTCGAGCAGTTGGGTTCCTGGATGCTGGTTCTTGGCTTCAGTGTCTGACCAGCGCTGGCTGCTGTCCTGCCAGTTGGGGGAATGAACTAGTGGGCAGAAACATTCTTTTTCTGCCTCTCTGGTTTTCAAGTAAATACATATAAATTAAAAAAAAAAAGACAAGCGATTCATGTGTTAAACCAGCTGATGTTTTCCTGGACTACAGATTAAAAAAAAACAGGGTGAGATAGAGGCCACGCTTGCAGCAGCTTCTCACAAATACTAAACATTAAACACTCAGCGCCTACAGGAAATTTCTTTTGGATGTGTTCTGCACTGCGTGCAACTGAACTTGCAAAACACTCCTCCCCGCTGAACACAGCGCTTAAGGATCTTTCCACAGCAAGCCTGCCTGCTGCTGGCAGATTCCGTCTTGCCCAGTTCAGAAGCCAGCTGGTCTGTGTGCAGACATGGCTGTCACTGCCCTCTGCTGTTCACAGCAAGCTCTCCTAGTCCTCGTTTCCAGTCACAGGACTCTGTTCAGAAAGGCACAGGGTCTGGCTGCTGGTAGGACCTGGGTGAGGAGGGGACATCTTGACCTATGCGACCCCAGCCAACCGGCATCCTAAGAAAGCGCACAGGTGCATGCTCTGTGCAGAATGGGTCAGCCATGTTAATGCTGCCTTCCTTTTGGGAACAGAAAGCAAAATCTCAACTGTGGTTGGTCTCGTTTTGCTTTCAGGCTTTCCTGCAATGTTTCTAGAGGCCCTCACCTTCTATGTGCCCCTGCCGCATGTCACCTGTCCCGATGGACCCCATGCTTCCCATGTGAGTGGTGTCTGAGCATCAGCTTTGAGGGAACTTGAGTACTTCGTTGACGGCAGGAACTGTGCTGAAGCATGTTGGCCTCGCCCCGCTGTGTCCTTTCACAGTGAATCCATGCTGCCCTGAATGTAGTAACGGCAGCAGCACGCAACTTGAGCACTTGCTCAACAGCAGAAGTGAATGAGGAATGAAGGGCAACCTGAAAGTCTCCAAAACCCAAGCTTTGACCCAAATCTGGAAACCTCTCCTGGGCTCCCAGCTGGGACCCCTGCTTGTCACCACAGAGCAGATGGATAGCCCCAGTGTGTTGCGGAGGAAGCTGCATCAGCGATAGGCAGGTACAGGCTGCTCGTAACACTGTAAAAGCCTTGGGGAACAGACAGCCTCACTGGCAGGGGGCAGGAACCCCGGCCTCCCTGCACAGCTGGGAAAATGGACACGAGTCTGGAAAAGCAGGAAGCGGTGGCAGAGAAGGATCGACGGAAGAGAAAGGGACAGGATGGGAAGAGGCAACTCTTACCCAAAGCCAAGTGATTGGCATCCAAGAGGGAAGGTTCTAGAACAGTGCCCATGACTGTGTCGGTAAAGCATGTGTGGGGCAGGTGGCCTGAAAGGGCTGGAGCAGGGTATGACAAGTGTGAGCCGTGAGTCTGGGATAGAGTTATGGCTCACACAGCTGCTAAGTGCATCTGGGCTAGCGTCTTCTCCCTCCCCTCGCTCCAGGGCCCTCTCTGCCCCTGGCTCCATCAGGTCAGCAGGCACCTGTTGTCACTCCCATTCTAAAAGCTCCCGAAAGAGGACAGTGCTAATATCCTCCACACCCTTCCTAACAAGTGAACAAAGCAGCAGCCACGGACCCTGTGCTCCATTCGTGTGATTCTCACTCCTGTTGCTCAAACCCCCCCATTTCTCTTCAAGGCCCGGGCTGGACATGTACCTGTCATGAGGGACAGCCTTGCTCCTCTCTGTGAGGGCAGCACCCTCTTCCTGTGCTCACAGAAGTGAGAGAATGCAAACCTCTTGACCTGATCAAACCTATCAATCTTAGAGAAGACTCACTCACGAGACAAAAACATCATCCTTTTGCAAATCTGGATTTCCAGCTGGTTTTACTGCTCCGGTGACACTGACAACCAGGAAGGGGCTGGGAAGGAGGTAGAGGGAGAATCAGAGTATTGAGTGAGCTCAAGAAAAGAAGTCAGGGAACAGGAAATGGTCAGTGAGCTTGAACTGGCTCTGCTATGTGGACCACTGCTGGCAGCTGGGACAGTGGTGTTAGCAGTGTTGGGGTCTGAGACCCAGGCAATAAAGGGAAAGGCTCTTTTGGGCACAGCTGGCAGTGCCAGGTGGCAAAGAAATTTCTGGATTGCTAAGGCTTCTCCTAATCCAGGAAGCTGTATCCCTGCCTGAAGCTCCCATGGGGGAGGTACTGGCCCAGAGGATGTGGAAGACCAGGATGTGTGAGGACGACCAGGAAGTGGATGGTTTGGCTCTGGAAGGAGGAGAAGGAGGCCTCACTCCTGCTGGGAGGCAGATGGAGAGGAGGAGGAAGCTGAAAAGGATGCGGTCAGGAACACAGGGAGGCTCGCCAGCAGGCCCTGGCCCCCGGGACTACTGGCAGACAATGTCACATGGCCAGGGTCAGAAGCAGCAGGCAGGGCCATGCATGGTGGTGGGGGGATGAGGCAAGAGGTGGGGCGGCCTAGGAGTGCTGGCTCAGAGGGGGCAGGGTCACTGCTGAGAGCCCATGCCTAGTGCCAACCTGCAGGCTATTGCACCCAGATCTCCACACAGTCTTTAAAGGACTCAGTTGAGTGTGGGAAGAAGCTTCTGTGACTGGCCCCATCTCAAAGACCAGGAAATGCAGATATCCTGCTCAGGTGAGAGCTAGGCTGGAAACCCAGGGCCTGACATCCCACCTGTTGAAGCCAAGCCCTGTGCTCTGAGGCACAGCAGTAGCACCAAGGCTGGGCAGACATGGGTGGCACTGCCCTGGGAAGAGGCCATCTCGTGGGAGCTCCAGCCCTAAGGCTCAGAGACACGGCAGTACCAGGGGAGAGCCGAGCAATACCAGGAGGCGGGGCAACCCCCAGCACCTGGGGAGGCTACTGAGAAGAGTAGGTAGTAGGGTGGAGAGACTTATGTGCCTGCATGTTACACGTGGGAAAGCAGGGGACAGTGGTGCCATCAACCCCCAAGATGCTTCTCAAAGGGTCATCAGCCCCACCTGCACTCATACCCACAACCCTCTTGAACCCTGGGCATGGCATCTGAGAGCTCAGTCTGGGGGGGTCTCTGTGTTGTTCTTTTGTCCTGGTGCAGATTCTGTTTGATTTAGCACAAGTCTATGTCCCCACAAACTCACACACACTGGAGAAATCCAAAGTGGAACATGTGGTGAATCCATCCAACACCAAGGCTCAGCCCAGCCCACCATAAAAGCACGTGGAACATGGCCATTAGCCTGCAGTGGGGCACAAAGCCATTGGACGCCCAGGTTGTCTCATCACCAAGCACTGAGTACCCACCCTGTAACTGACTGACCAATGCATTCACTGTGAGAAAGATCAACATTCCTAACCTAAAGCAGCTGCTTCCAGATGTGCTACCATTGTCACATCACCATAAAACCCACGACTCCTACATCAGCTCCCCAGGCAGAGGAGAGAACTGCCCAAGCTGAGTGAGATAGATCCAGTGTCAGGCCCATAGCGAGCACTCAATCACATTCAGTCAGCACAATCATCTTGTGGGGGAGTCATCCTCATGGTCCCATTTCACAGATGAACAACAAGGCGGAGAAGCGAAGACCATGGTGGGAGCTGAGATCTGTCTGCTCACGGCCATGGGATAAACGACTGGGGATCTCCAGGCCCCGGGCAGCCTAGTCAGTGTTGTCCCCAAGGCACCTGTCCCCCACCCCAGAGCTCAACCCCACTCCCTCTCATCCGGGGACTGGCAGGAGTAAGGAAACAGGCTCAAAGCACCTGCTACAGGGAGCAGGGAGAGAGGGCCCAGGCATGCCACAGGATCCTGGCTCAGTCCCTTGGATTCTAACAAAGCAGGAGGGGAAGTGAGCAAGACGCAGCAGGGAGCCCCAGAGTGAGAACACCAAGGGCGGCAGCGTACTTGACATTGGTGTTGGTGCAGATGATGTACTCGATCTCGTCCGAGTAGGGGTTCTGGAAGGTGAAGCTGCTGGTGCGGATGAGCGTCCACTCACGGTTCTTGGTGCGGAATCGATACATGACGGACAGCACTTGACCCTTCAACTTTACCACCTGAGAAAACATTTGCAGAAGGAAGTCAGTGGGGGGCAGGGAGGGAGGGGGGAGAGTGGGATGTTGCCAGACGGGGGAGGGCCAGGGCAGCCTCAGATTGTGGCTGAAGATTGTGCAGTCACGCTCTGGGGAGCCCCCTAGCCCACGTCCCCTTTGGAACAGGCCCTGCCTTTGGGTCATTCTGCACTGTTACGTGCGATATCACAGCAGTCAATGCCTTTTCTGACTCGGGACATTTTGTTCAGTTTCAACAGATCAGCTTACGAAAGCTGCAGAAACCTGAGTGGTTTTTGGTCTTGTTTGGTGTTAGCACGCTCAGAGGTTACATCTAGCTCAGGTGTGTGGCTGCATTTGTGTCTTCATAAATCCTCCCATAAAAGCTTCTTCACTTCTGTTTAACTCTCTGAAACAGAATCTCTCTCCTCCTGGGGAAGAGATGTAGTGAAAGGAAAAATTGAGTTTAGCCTCTGGTGTGGCAGATGAACCACTGCCTGTGATACTGGCATCCCAGAAGGGTACCAGTTCAAGACCCAGCTGCTCACTTCTGGTCCAACTCCTGCTAGTATGTCTGGGAAAGCAGTGGAGGATGGTCCAAGCATTTAGGTTCCTGTACCAATGTGGGAGACCTAGAAAAACTCCTGGCTTCTGGCTTCAGATCAGTTCACCTCAGCTTCAGCCATTACAGCTATTTGGGGAGTGAACCAGTGGATGGAAAATCTCTCCCTTTCTCCCTCTCTCTTTGTAACTCTGCCTTTCAAATAATAATGCAATTTTTGAGGAACAAAGGATATATTTTTCTATATATTCTTTATTTGTTCTTTATTTGTATGTCTTCATTGCTACTTTTTCTACTTATTATTGATTTTCATTTTATCCAAAAGGCAGAGAGATGAAAACCAGGAGGGACATGGAAAGATATGCTTCACTCCTCAAATAACTGCAACAGTTGGGACTGGGCCAGACTAAAGCCAGGAGACAGGAACTCCATTTGGTTCTTCTCCATGGGTGGCCAGAAACCAAGAACTTGAGTCATCACCTGCTACCTCCCAGGGTGTACATTAGCAGGAAGCTGAATGGGAAGCAGTCAGGACTTGAACCTAATCCTATATGGGATGTGGGTTTCCTAAGCAGCGTCCTAACCACATAGCAAGTCCACCCCTACCACGACTTGCAGTCTGCAGATAGATTCCCAAGAACTCTCAAAGGCAGAGCCTGCCGGGCTCTCTGCTGGCTCCCCGTGCCTGCAGAATGAGCTCTGGGAGCCAACAGAAGACAATGAGGAGATGCCTGTTGCCCACGATCAGACAATTGCAAGGACCCAGCCTCTCCCATCATATACTCGTCAGAAGCCCATGGGGAACCTGTTCAATCTTCATTCTCTCTCCCTAGTGGTTAGACGCACAGACACATCAGCACAAAGACACACACAGGTTGCAGAACAGAGCGCTCCAGGGGAGAGCACAAACGGAAGAAGAAGGAATTAGGGTTGGGTGTGAAACACAGGATGAATGGTGGGACTGCAGCTCAGGATAAGACAAGGTGAGAAGGGAGTCTCCTGCCCACAGGCACGTGCAGACTGCAGCTTTCCAGACAGTTGGGGTTGGTGTAACTTGGCCAGGCTTATGTGTCTGAGGGCTCACTGGTAGGAACTGGGGGCAAGGCCCAGGGTTCATGACAGGCCTAATTCACTGTCCTTTCCTATCCCTATTGGATGTCATCTGTCATCCCTTGTGGAGTGAGTGCAACATGGGATGGGGACAGCCTGGTCACCTGTGCCTCCCTGTGCCCCAGTGTGGTGCAAGCACCCAGAGCACACTTCCCAAACTGCCCCCGTATGGCTGCTTGTCTCCTAGCCTCCGTGATGCAGCCAGGATGACTTAACCCCAGGGGGGAAGCCCACTGAGAGCAACCCAGCCTGAGCCCAGTTCCCAGTGGGTACTCCCTGAGTGGTATGGAAACCAAACTGCAAGCTGCAGAAGATGTGGCCCACACCAGGGGAGGCAGAGCTGAGGGGTGGGGTCTGAGTGTTAGGGTTAGGGTTAAGCCTGCCCACTCCAGGGATGCTACCTGACAGTGCACCTGTAGCCCCAGAAGGAACCTCGTCCTTCTTCGACAGGGCCCAGATGTGAAGGCTACGTGTCTCTCAAGCCAGCATGCTTAGGGTCTCCCACAGGGCACACCTCTGTATCTGCACTGGATACAGAATGATAGGCAGCTACCATCCCCCTTCTGAGTCCCAAAATCCTCTGGATGCTGAAGAGACACATGGAAGGTGCCCTGTGTGTTTCTTCTAGCTACTGGGATACCATAGACAGTGAGACATCTGTCAGCTCCATGTGACCAGCACACAGAAGGCACTTCCTGTGTGCACACTGAGCCCCTGGAGCTGCTGATGGAAAACAGAGGACCCCTGTGGTCCACCTGACAGCAAGCAAGTATCTGGGAAGTGAGCTCAAGAGCTGAATACTCCACCCTCCAGGCCTGGTGACTGAGCAGCCGCCGAGGAAGGCTTGGATCCCAGCTCCACCTGTTCACCCTCATCATTGCTGCCAAGGTAGATTCTCGGCCCCCCAAAAGCAGCATTTCATCCAGCTGAGGGAGGAGAAATGGGCAAGAGATGTAAACCAGAGCCTACATACTCAATACCATCTCAAACACACAATATCATATGCCACGGGGCTGGTAGGAGAGTGAGGAAAGCCAGGCTGTCGGCAGGACCCAAGAAGGGCTCCTGGAGGGAGATGGTGTTTGGGATGAGCATGGAGGATCCATGGAGTGGGCATCCCTGAAGTGGGCAGGCCTAACCCTAACCTTAACCCTAAAGATGTGCTGGGAGGATCCTCCTGGAAGCAGGTGCAACCTTAGCAGGAGGCTGGGAACCTTGTCCTCCCTGAACAACCTGATTATGCATGTGAAAAGCAGTGCAGGTGACCGAATCCAGGCTGGTGATGCACTTCATTCAGGTATGATGCTGACACATGGCAAAGAACAAGTGTAAAGCCAAGCACAGTGCAGCTCTTCATGAAAACAGTTCCATCACCCACCATCAACACTCCCACCATCACCACTATCAACACTACCACCATCATCAACATCACGGTCATTGCCATCACCACTATCACCATTATTACCATCCACATCACCACTGCCATTACCATCATCACCACCATCATAGCTATCATCATCACTGTTATCATCACCCTCATTGCCATCATCACCACCACCATTACCACCATCATCACCACCAACATCACCATTACTATCATTACCACTGCCACCACCATTGCCACCATCATTACTATCATCATCACCATCATCACCATTATCATCACCACCAATATCACCATCACCACCATCATGAGCGTCACTACTACCACCAGCATTGTTGCCATGTGGTGTCTGACACCGAGGAGAGGGCTCGGCCAAGAGCCTGATTCACACTCGAGTGGGTCCAGCCCTCTCTCCTGACGTCTCAGTGGAAGTCCATGAGCAGGCACAAGTTTCCCATGCCTGGGCCAGCTCCTTGACACCACACTGAACTCTGTTCCTCACAATAGCCTCCCCTGAAGGCATCCATGCCTGCCTCCCAGATGCTGTGCTTCCATCCAGCTGACCCTGGGCTGACACAGCGCCTTCTGTGCTTTTTCAAGAGCGAACCACTTCCCTTTATCAACATTTGTTCCCCACAGCAGCTGCCGGTGGCCAGAACCCAAGGAACACAGCATGGGGTCCAGACTGGGAGCGCTCCAAGTCTCGCTGTGGCTGCATGGCTGTTGCCCACAAGCTGGGCTGGGGATAGGGGCTGTTGTCTCTAGGATGCTGCTGTATCCCGGGGCCAGAGTTCCTGATGTTGGAGCCCTAGCTGGGATCACACATGAAACTGTGTTTCCTTTTCAAAACCAACTGGGTTCCAACAGCATCAGCAGTTTCAGATCTCAGATGTGCTGCTCCATGGAGAGGCCTGGGCATTTGGGTGTGGCATTGTGAGTGGACCTTTCAGAGGGATGTGGGCCTGGCTCCAGTCATGGCTCTGTGCTTGCTTCTCTGTGTGACCAGGGGCAGGTCACTGAATCTCTGGGGTGCTATGTAGGAGTGCAAACGAACAGCTCTTACTGTGTGGGGTTGCTAATTACAGAAATCAATGAATGAGAACAGGCCTGGCTGGATATTGAATGGGCAAAAGACCTCACACTGATAGAACTAACTTCCCACCGACCCAGACAAGCTACAGCCAAACGACCCAACTCTGACGGCGTTGCACAACGTAAAGGTCATCAACTCCCCACACCTTCAGCATACACATGCTTCCACTGGTGACAGGGATTGCTCTGGGATCTGTCCCCCTGTCCCCCGCTCCTCCGAGTCCTACTCTCGAGGCAGATATAAGCTGGCCCGTAGGGAGCTTGGGTTTTGCTTATCTTCTTATTTCAGAGGAAGAGAGCGAGAATGACACACAGGCAACTTAGAGTCCACTCTCTTCTACCCCACACCCCAGATGCCTGCAACGGCCAGTGCTGAGTGGGGCCAAGGCTGGGAGTCAGCAACTTAGGCCAGGCCTACCCTGCTGGACAGCAGGGACTCAGCCACATGAGCCATCACCCACTGCTCCCAGAGTCTGCACTGACTGATGCACTACACTGATTCCCAGGGTTGGGAGCCAGAGCCAAGGATCAGATCCAGGTATGTTGGGATGTGGGGATGTTAACCACAAGGTGCCTCCTTCCTGGAGATTGGAGTTTAGTGAAGATGATGGGAAACTTTTAAAAAATATTCAGATAAAGATGGTCAGGCACTTCCCCTCCCCATGACCTGATAGACTCTTCCTGTCCTGGGAAAAGTCCCTTTCTTTCATGACGCTGCCTAGGGCTCTGTGAAATATCAGATCCCGTGGACAGAACAAGTGTGCCCCTTCTCCCTCCTACGTTCATATTCTCTCTCTCTCTCTCTCTCTCTCTCTCTCTCTCTCTCTCTTTTTTCTATCCCCCTGTATGTGACAGGCTTGGGAGGTGTCGGCCTCACCTGGAGTCCCAGCTGCTCCCTTGGCTCTGGGATGACAGTCTCCCCTCTCTGATTAATGTGAAAACTCAAGAAGTCAGAGTGTATAAAGTGATTTCCCACCACTCCTGGCACTCAGCAGGGATGCAGCCACCTGGGAACATGAATACCCCAGCTCTTCCAACCCCCTCTTTCGTCCTTCCCTAAAGCAGCTCTCACTCCAACCCCATTCCCTTTGCTAAAGTCCCAGGGCTCCTGGCCTGTTTCCAGGCATGCCTCTTCTCCCAATTCTGATGCCGCCTGGGACTGGCCTTTTCTCTCCACATCGGTGTCTTGGGCTGGGCTCCTATGACAGATGCTCTGAACAATTCTTACAGGAGTTCTCAATTGCCCTTACGGGACTGGAAAGGGAGCACACTTCCCCAGCATGGTTTCCCCAGTCTGGAATGTTCTCCCTTCTCTTTGCTCACCCTGCCAGTCCCATTCCCTGGAGCATACTGTGTTCTTCCATGCACAGTTTGCCTCCGGTCTCTGGTCAAGTGTCATATTCCTTCAGAAGCACTGCACAGGCAGGGTTTCCCCATATGTCTGCCTCTCCCATTAGACTCTGAGCTCTTTGCAGGCAGGGCCCTGACTGCAGCCTTAGCAGGAGCTCACACCCACACGCTCCAGGGTTGTGTCCCAGTACCTGCTGGAAGCTCTCCCGCAGATGGCTCTGGTCCTCTGGGTGGCAGAATTCCAAAATGTCCTTCCCCAGGATATCCTGCATGAAAGAAGCAGCTGTCACATCCTTAGGCTCCATCTCCGGCTACGTCTAGGCTCACACAGATCATAAGGGCCACAGGACTGTCCTCTAGCCCATCTCTAGTCCATCCCAATGCAGAGGGGCAACAAGCGGATACTGTAAAGTCCTGTTGCAGCCAGCATGGCACTGGCTTCCTGGGGTCCACTGGCAGAGCCTCTGGCTCCCCCGGCACCTGTTCTTGATTCTGCTGAAGCTCTAGGTCAGCAGCCTTGGGATGCAAGATCACTTTTGTTTGCCTCAGAGAGGCAAGCTACAATATATTTATTCAAATAAACAGAAAAGATAACATGGGCACAGATGTGCTGCCTGAGAAGGGAAATGTTTTAAATACAGACATTGCAGCTCTCTCACGGTTGAAGACATGAGGTTATCATAAAAAACTGATAGTTGGAGGGCCCGGCATGGTGGCGCAGTGGTTAAAGTCCTCGCCTTGCATGCCCGGGACCCCATATGGGCACCGGTTCTATCCTGGCAGCCCCGCTTCCCTTCCAGCTCCCTGCCTGTGGCCCGGGATAGCAGTCGAGGACGGCCCAAAGCTTTGGGACCCTGCACCCGCGTGGGAGACCCGGAAGAGGCTCCTGGCTTCGGATCGGCATAGCATAGGCCATTGCGCTCACTTGGGGAGTGAATCATCGGATGGAAGATCTTCCTCTCTGTCTCTCCTCTCTCCGCCTTTTCAATAAAAAATAATAAAAATAAATCTTAAAAAAAAAAAAGCAAAACTGATAGTTGGAGCTGGCATTGTGGCATAGTGGGTTAAGACACCTCCTGCTAGTGCCAGTTTGAATCCAGGCTGCTCTACTTCTGATCCAGCTCCCTGCCAATGTATCTGGAAAAGCAGCGATGGTCCAAGCGTTTGGGCCCCTGCACTTACATAGTGTGACCTGGCAATAGCTCCTGGCTCCTAGCTCCTGGCTTTGGCCTGGTTCAGCCCCGGCTGCTGTGGCTATTGGGAAGTTAACCACATCCTCTACTATCTCTCCTTCTCACTCTATAACTCTGCATTTCCAATAAATATAAAAATGTTTTTTTAAATCACAGTAGGACTCTGTAAACTCCCTAGCTCTGCTGGTCTGGGTTTGAGTGAAAGGATCAAGAACAGCCCCCAAACAATAGCAGGCTTCACATTGAGACATCCGGACAAGGCAAGTTCAAGTGTTATAGGAATGTGGTGCGTGAGTGTGATGGCAGCCAAGCAGCATCCATGGGCTCAGGGAGGGTGCCAGGGTTAAGCTGCCTGGCAGGGAGTGTGCGGCTGTCAGAGGTTGTGGGTGATTTAGAAACAGATTGGCTTTCCCCTTTATTCCAATGGAGAATCTTCAGGTCGGCAAAGAACTTGCAGGGCAGAAGGGCACCTAGGGTCTGGAATTCCTGGCCTGAACCAAGGCCTGCCATGTCTGTGTAAGCACGTTCATAGCATGGAGCCCTCATTCAGTTGTTAAGACAAAGACCTTGTTCAAAGTTCAAGCTACCTTAAAATTGGAAAGGCAAGGATCCTTCCCATAGATGCAACAAATGTCACTAAATTTTTTTCCCATTTGGACTTTTTTCCTATGTCCATTACACGTACATGGACTTAACAAGGACTTGCTTTGTAAACATGCACACATATCTATATACACGCATGTGAAAATACATTTAATATCAGTTGTAAGTATTTATATGACACTTTCCACCCAAATATGGGGGGGAGCGTTATGGAGTGCAGTCAGTGACTGTTCCTTCACCTCCTTGTATACTCTTCCCCTCACATCCTTATTCGGATGTTGGATGCAGCTGAGTCCAATTGGTCTTTTTAGCTACAAGCCTAGTTCCTGTTCCTGCCCATCCCAATGAGCGCCAATTAACTGCTTAACTCACAACACTTAGGCATTCACTCCTGCCTCACATATCAACTGAGAGGGGGTGATATTGCATTGTTGTGTAACCACTCCCCTCACAAGCCCCTTTAAAAGGCCCATGAAGCGGTGGCTCTTTCCGGTCAGGTATTTCCATTACTCTGGCACCTTGACTCTTGGCTGATCTAGGATAGGTAATCCCCTGAGCATGGTCCCTATATATTGCTTTGATTGGACTTGTGATCTGTTATTTTAGTATGTTCTGTTATCACCAAACTTGGTTAATAAAGACTCCTTAATAAAACCTTAGACATGTCTGGTGATCTCGCTCACACCCCATAACAGAAAGAGGCTTCCAAAAGTCACTGGAAAACACATACTATATAAAAGCTATCCATGAACTTTTAAAACAATTTTGTACCAAAATGAACTCTTCTTGAAATTCCATCTTCCCACGAGCATTTTGATATGCCTTCACATTTTAGCACATATCTGATTAAGGTGATATTATCTGGGACTGGCATTGTGTTGTAGTGAGGAACCTTAGGATCAAAATTCCAACCATTTGTTCATGGCTCATTGCTACTAAGAAACTGTGAGCTTGCAGGCCAATCGGCCCACGTGACCTTTGGTATCTATGGCTTCTTATGAATCAAGGCCCACCTAAGTCTGGTTATCTCACGGGTGGCTCCAAGTAATGAAGTGGCCGGTTACCTTAGTTGCTGGAGGCATGGGCTGTGCAGCCGAGACAGGTAGGAAATATGTGGTATTTCCCCTCACCTTGCAGGCTATTGTGAATTGCCCCTTTCCAAGCTCTTGTGCACTGCCCCTATAAAAGCTCCGTGACTGTGCTGTTGGGGCTGCACTCTGTTAAGGGGTGTTGGTCCCGGCTGCCTGCTCTCAACCAACAACCCAAGCTCCGACCTGCCAAGCTTGAATAAACCATCCTTGTGTGCTTGGATCGACTTCAGACTCCTGGTGATTTCTGAGGATCTCAAAATCTGGGCACAACAGTAGCAGGTAAAGCCACCACCTGTGACGCAGGCATCGCATAGGGGTGTTGGTTCACCTCCCGGCTGTTCCTGTTTAGGATGCAGGAATCTCAAGCTGCAGCTTAAGAGTTAGGCTCAATGCCTATCTCCCCACCTGCTGCTGACTTTTCCATAGAGTGCCTGGAACACAGCCCTGTAACAGGGACCTCTGATCAGAAAAGATCTCCAGATCCAAGGGCCCAACTCAACAAGGAGGCTTCTGTGCACCTTTGTGAGCTCTGTGGTAAAGACCGATGGATGAGGGGGCCCTGATGCAGCATGGGCTCTTCATGGTGGAAACAGCTGGACAAAGAGAACAGCAAAGGCAGCAGACAGAGCTGCCAGTGAGCCAAGCAGTGGCTTGTGGAGGCCACTCACACCTCTGGAGGGCAGCTCCTGCCTGCACAGCGCACATGGGTCTTTATACTGTCACCCTCCAAGGCCACTGCGCTGTGTCTTCAGTGACACCATCAGGCTTTCAAAGTTCCGTACCTTGCTGAACAGCCTCAGCTCACAACTGCCCACTGACCTGGGGTTGGTAGCCAATCACACTGATGCATCTGGGATCTACAAAGGTGATGATTCCATCGGAGTTATGTCGAGAGAGGAACTCCGTGGGCACGGACATCCCGTTCATGTCCATGCACACAGGAGAGCTGGTGACCTGCAAAGGGGAACATCTGCGGGTGAGGTGGGATGGATGGGGCAGGGCAGACACAGTGTTTGTGGCAGAGAATGGAAGTAATCGGTGGCATGGATTCTGTGTATCCTTCTGGGGTCTATAGAACCATGAGCCTGCAGTAGTTGGCAGTCGGCCCGGATGATGCCTCTCACTGCACCCAAGGGGGCAGGGGGGCTGCCTTCTCAACACTTGTGAACTCACCTGCCTTAGCAGCCAGTGGCAATGGTGGAGCCACAATCTCTTACTGCGGTCATGGGGTTTACCAGGAGCACTGCCTGTGACAAGGTGGCATACTGCCTGGCACACAGATGTCACTGGGCAAATGTTAACACTCCTCCCTTTTCTTACAAAGGAGCCCAGGAGCCTATGGAAGCTTTCAGAAAGATGGGTGTGGTTTAGTAAGGGTGTCTGTATTCTATATCACAGTGCTTGGGTTTGATTCCCCATTGGGCTTCCTGCTAACACCTGTTACCTGTGTGTGTGTTGGGGGGGGGGAGCAGTAAATAGCTCAAGTAAATGGCTTTCTGCCACCCTTGTGGAAGACCTGGATAAATCTCCTTGTCCTGCAGTTGCTCCATTTCTTTCCATTCACTAGGAAGAGTTACAGGTGCCGTGCCCTGAAGCCTGTAAGTAAACCTTCTTCATAAGCAACCTGTGTCAGGCACTCCATTACAGCAACCCACATTACTGTGGGTTTCTGGAAAAGGCCACGGTGTGTGATAGGGATAAGATGTGGGGAGACAAGAAGGAGAGACCCGTAGTAATAGTGAGTTGGAGTTCAGCCCGCAGGTCCCGGAGAGGCATCCCAGGGTGGAAACGGTGGTGTCAGGTGAGCAGAATCCCAGTCTGCAGGACCAGGCTTGAGCATGGAGGCTGACCAGCCTCTCCAGGTGGCCATGCTGACAGCACTGCTGCTGACTGCTCCTGGTTCCCTAGCGTCTCCAAGATTCAGCTTCATTTTGGCCCGATAGAGGCACAACACAGCTGATGCCACATGTACCAGCCATTCCACTTGGCATCCAGACTCCACTGCATCGTGCCCTTGGCACTGGATCCTCCTGGGGGACTGTACTCACCTGCAGCCTCCCGATGGCCACGAGGCAGTATTTACTGCCTTGTCCCACGTCAGCATCTTCCTCAGGGATGGTCATGCCTGAAATGACAAACGCAGTTCACCAACAGGATCCCCAGGTGGATGGAGCCTGGATGGGGATGGCAAGTTGCTGTGATGTTATTTATGACACAGAAAATTATGGACCCACCGCTCATGGTTGGGAGGCAAGCAGGTGCACTAACCACAAAGAAGAGACCAGTGTGTTCCCTTCCAGGAGAGGGCAAAGTTTTATGAAGGCTGCAAGGAGACCTGGTAAAGGCTGCACTAAACAGCCTCTGAAAACAGGTATGCCTAACAGGAAGACTTGATCAAAGCAATCCTCATCGCTCTCTAGTTTCCTGAAAGCAATCCTCTGTCAGTCCCAGAGAACATGAAGTCTGCAATTGGATCTCTGTAGTGACACAAACATTTGACACTTTTATAATGATCAGATTTGAAAGGCAGTGAGATAGAGAGAGAAAGCTTCTACCTGCTGGTTCACTCCCCTTATTGCCTGCCACAACCAGGACAGGGTCAGACCCACACTGGGGGCCAGGAACTCCATCTGCATCTCCCACATAAGTGGCAGAAGCAGAGCTACTTTGAGCACATCATGGTGCACAGTGGTGGAAAAGTAAGAATCAGGAGCTGCATACGAAATCCAGGTCCCTGCAATATGGGGCATGCATGGCCTAACAGGACAAACGTCAAAGGTTCCAAGCATTCGTTTTGAGAATTCACAAGGCAAGAGCTGATGAACAGAAAACAGTCTTCTACACGGTGGAGCGCTGAACGTACCTACCCATGTACTAGGTCAGGGCAAGGTCCAAGAACAGTGACCCAAGTGCAGCAACAGCCATTATCCTAGATGTTGAAGGGCAGGTTGAGTAGCACCGTGGGTCCGAGAGCCAGAGGGGCATTACCCCGTTAACCCTCTTTATACTTGTGTCCCACACAGCCAGCTCCATTCCCTCACCAGCCCTGTTTCTGGCTCGTCCTTGCTGGCCATAGGAGCGCATCCTCCTCCTATGAGAACAGTGAGCAACAGACACACCAGGGTTTCACAGCATGATATGCCCTGCAGATCATTCAAACCCTGTTCACAGAGCTCCTTCTCATTATCTCCTAGAACTCCATAGCCCCTCAGATGTTAATGCACCATGGTTTATGCAACCACTCTCCAGCAGAAGAACATTTCTATCTTTTTGCCAATAGGGGTCGGTGTGTTGTCATAGGGGCTCAAGCTGTCTACTGCCTGTGATCCTGGTCTCCCCTATCAGGGCTGGTTCAAGTCCCGGCCACTCCAATTTAGATCCAGCTCCCTGTAGTGTGTGTGGGAAGTGGCCCAAGAACCTAGGACCCTGTCACCCACGTGGCTCCTGGATCTACCTGGCTTTAGCCTGGGCCAAACCTGGCTGCTGTAACCAATTAGGGAGTGCAGCAGCGTATGGAAGAGCTCTCTTTGACTCTGCTTCTCTTTCAAATAAGTAAGTAAGCAAATCCTTTTGTTTGAGTTAATGAAAAAGGCACATTATCTTTTTTTTTAAGATTTATTTATTTTTATTACAAAGTCAGACATACAGAGAGGAGGAGAGACAGAGAGGAAGATCTTCCGTCCGATGATTCACTCCCCAAGTGAGCGCAATGGCTGGTGCTGTGCCGATCCACAGCCAGGAGCCAGGAACCTCCTCCAGGTCTCCCACAAGGCTACAGGGTCCCAAAGCTTTGGGCTGTCCTCGACTGCTTTCCCAGGCCGCAAACAGGGAGCTGGATGGGAAGCAGAGCTGCCAGGATTAGAACCGGCGCCCATATGGGATCCTGGCGCGTTCAAGGTGAGGACTTTAGCCACTCGGCCATGCTGCCGGGCCCATACATTATCTTTTTAAAATAAATTATCTAGCTCATTAATTAGAGAGGCAGAAAGAGAGAAAGAAAGAGAGGCATAGGGAGGGAGAAAGAGAGGGAAAGATCTCCCACCTGCCCAATCACTGTTCAAATGGCCACATCTGGTGTAGCCCTGGGTCAGGGTAAAGTCAACTTCAAACTCTCATATGGGTGGCAGGGACCCAAGTACTTGAGTCATATAACCTGTTATCTTCCAGGGTGTGCATTGGTGGGGAGCTGGTATCGTAAGGAGAGAAGCTGGGATGAGAACCCTGGCCCCATGACAGTGGATGTGGTTGTCCTGGTGGCGCCCTAACCACTGTGCTGATGGCCTGCTCCACATATGGAATCTGGCTTAACCAAATATCTCTTCCAGAAGGGTTTCCCTCATTTGCATTCTCACCAGCAGTGTGAGGAGGCTACTGGCTCCCCCATAGTCAGGGCCAACAGATAATGCTGTCGTGTTATCTAATTTGTGTCAGTCTAACGGGGAGGGGGAATGATGTGTTGGTGTTTGTTTGCATGTCTCTAATTATGTTTGGGATTGCTACTTATTTGTGGATGGTTTTTATATGCTGTTTTGGAGTGAACTGACTGTTCCTTGCTCTCCTGTATTTTTCTGTTGGGACTTGCTTCTCAGGTTTTAACTTCTTCTAAAAGGATTTATTTTGGTGTACAAAGTAGCATGATAGTATTTTAGTTAGAATTGCAGTAAACTTACAAATTAACTCCAGGAGAATTGTCATCTTTACAGTGTTGAGCAGCCCTGCCTGAGACGGTGGGGGAGGGGATGTTTTTTATTTTCTATTTTATTGGCTGCTCGACTTGATAGGTGAGGAAAGACTGAGAAAAAGAGACTCCTATTGGCCGGTTCACCGCATCCCCACAGGCTCTCAGCGTCTGGGATTGAACCAGGCTAAAAAGCCAGAAGCTCTGCATTCAACCTAGGGACCTACCTAGCCAAACCATCACCCGCTGCCTCCCAAGGTCTGCATTTAATAGGAGGCTCGAGTTTAGAATGAAACCAGGTTTTGCAATCAGCTGCTCTGATACAGGATGCAAGTGTCTGAAGCACCATCTTATCCGCTGGGCCAAACACCCTCCCTAGTTCATCTTTCAACTTAACGTTGTGTTTTGGGAAAAGAGCAGGTGGTTCAGCTCACAGCCCAAACAACCACACATGTGCTTTTTCATCACACAACTGCCATGCTTTCACACACAACAGAAGTTGCTTTATGCATCCCCCTCCCCATTCTGGGGTTCAACACTATTCACACACAGTACTGTTTGTTTTTTTGTTTTTGTTTTGTTTTGTTTCATCAAGGGAAGCCCATAGTTAAAATTTCTTGACTTAGTGTTTTTATTGCACCTGTGTAGTGTTAAAGGATTCAACGACTACTGGGACACTTTGGTGCCATGGCCTCGGTTCTTATAGAGACTCCAGCAAGTTTTCCCTGACCTCAGTGCCAACGTTGACATGGTGAGGTGGGTTAACATCATCTTGGGGTTGTTCTGAAAGGGGTAAGCTTGTGTGTCCTGTAGCTATCTCAGGGATCTCCAAGGTCCATGAATTGTTATTGTACAAGTTGCCATGCGTTACAGGCTTATCTTCATTCTTTTCTTGGATCCTTCTCCCATTGCCTCATGTCCTAACCACGCAGCAGTGAGACCCTGCAGCCGACGTTTTCCATCTAGATCTACTTCTGGAGTTCCTGACTCTGACTCCAGCTTGCCTGTGAAAAATGCCAAGTTTCTGTCCATTTTGCAAATCTGGTCCGTATGCCTTGATTGGTGGTGAGCCACCGACCGATCCAATCCATCTCTTCCTGTTTATGATCCTCAGAGCTGCTTTCTGTTCTACATCAGTCATCAACAGCTTGAGATACAACTGCTGGGCTTACCCCATGCCTTGCCTCTCACCACTTACACACCAGACGTGGCCAATCCTGGCTGCTCCCACTTCTCTATTGCTCCCCAACCTGCCTGCATCTTCTCTCCACCTGTTGTCTGCATCACCTCCTGGAGACAGCTATAATGTTCCTCTGTGGGAAGTGAATGGAACTTTCTGTGGCTTCCATAGTGAGCTCAGTCCTCCCTCTGGCACATGTGGCTCTTCTACAACTGCCCCATGCTGAGTTCTCCCCAGTTCTTCCAGGCTTCAGGACCCCAAAACAGCATACAGGTGCCTTTAGAGATGCTCAGCCTCCTGCTCCTTCAGGAATCTATGCAGGGACTGCCTGCTTCTAGAATGAGGAGGCCTGCTGGGTGGGAGCACACACAGCTCATGGAAACCCTGGTTCAGAAAGCATCGAACTGGCACTGGGAGCAGCAAAGTGAAAAAGCAGGCCCAGAGTGACTGCCCCACAGTTGGAGATGGAAGAAGATGGGACCCAATGGGGAAGTGGAGTCTCAGGATGAGCCACAGAGTCTGTGCCCTGGCATTCTTGAGTCCCATAATCCCTGTTTCTGCTGGACCCCTCCCCCAACTAGTGGGATGCTCAGGACACCCCCTAAAACTCCCAGGCTGTCAGATCTCTAGGAGATCCCATCAGCTGCCCTAGACTTGATTGTGGGATCATCCACTCACTTCTGTGCCCCGTGACTCTCGGCCAAGGGAGTACTCCCTGCATCATCAAGTGCTTTTCTTTGTAGACCTTTACAACTGTTCCTCCTACAACCATGGTCTCAGTCCCCCCATACACTTTTCTCAAGTGTGTTTTGGATTTCCTGCATTCCTCCAATACCTGGCATCCATGTAACCCAGGTGTAATCATTATACATTTTTTCCACCTTCATGGTCCTGGAGAGGGTGGAGGCCAGTTTGTTGGTATTCAGCAAAGCACACTTAGGGAGCAAAGCATATGCTACACTGACAGTACATCAAATGCATGGTGTCCTTCATTCAGTTATTAAAAAAAAATAATAACAACAATGGAGTTATGTGTGCTTACAGATGGACCCACAACTTAGACGGGCCAATACATCTGAAACAACCACCCAAACCATCAAAGTTAAAAATGCAGAACAACAGAATACAGCCAAGCGTGCTTCACAAGACACTGGATGTCAGGTGACAGCACAACCCCAGACATGGAAAACAACTAAAACATGGCTTAGGATTGTCCCAGTTCCAAACCAACAACTAAAATTTCACAATGTCTGGCATCAAATCGAAA